CCAGATACGGTCAATAAAAATCATTGATGTTGTTAATTACTGCTGGCGACTTTTAAGAGTATTCTTAATAGTTTAGTATTAAATATTTTATGTACAAATATCGTTTCCGATTCTTCCAATGTTTGCCGACACACAAAATTGTATTATAAACAGAACCCCATTTTGAATTCGGTCGCGAATTACAGATCGTCTAGAGTGGACTCAAAGTGAAACTTTCATGCACGCCGGAATTAATTTCAGGCTACGATCCTGGACCGTAGCGTTCGCGAACCTCGCCCTTTTCGCGGGTACAAAGCGGTCCAGATGCGTGCGGAAGTGGAACGAGCGAAATTGCGGATTAGATTGCGTGCTGCTCGCTATCGTGCGTAAGCATACACGACGCTCGGGAAACGAGATAAAAAAAAGTTTCTTTCCTGCATTCGAAATTATAATCTAAATACATTGCTCTAACATCGGCGGACGAAGCATTTGCATAAAAAGTATATTTTGCAAAAAGATATCGGCTTAAAATAAATTACTATGGAGCTGTACGTTGGCCAAAATTATCCGAGTTATTATAACATGCTTTTTGGGAGTTCGTGTTAGATTTCAAGAACGCATTCTATTTACAATTTTATGATATAAAAAAATTGTTGCAGGTTCATGAATACACAAATATAATAAAGCATACATTAAAGTATAGAGGAAAGTCCCCTATTATGAGACCAGTTTCTAATATGAGACAGCGGGGGAAATTAACAAGCATCATCTATTGGTTCCACCATGAATTTATTGCTCCTGAAGTGAAATCTGTTTAGTGGAAAAATTAGAATAGATTTGGACGTTGATAACCTGCTATCTCACATTAGAAGCCTATCTCATAATATGTATCCGTCACGAAGGACACGACATGTAAAATCGCGATTAGAATTTTATCCCAAAATTTTCGACGTGAATCATAAGTTAAGAAATTATTAAATTATTAGAGTATTCTAGTTTCACCTTAAACAATCGAAGGTTCGAAATTACAAAAGATAGAACATATAAAGTTATTTTTAGGAATAAGACCCCGGCGACTGAAAATGTTAATATTTATTATATTTGTGTTGTATGTACATCGGTCGCTATATGTATTTACTGAAATAAACGACAGTGTACTCGACATCATTTAAATTGAATAATGCAAAATTATGAAATGCGATTACAGAAAGAGCAAGATTTCAAGAAATACGTCAGCCATGTCGATAAACAAGTAGTACCAATGTAATAACGAACAACGTGTAAACCGAAACAACCCATTCTTTTATGTTTTTTTTCATATGTCACATTTTATCTCGTTCACTTGAAAATAATTAGCAAAAAATTCAAGGCTTCTTACAGCGAGTAGAAAATTCAATTTTCCCCTCGAAAGAGAAATTTCCCCGCTTATGGACCGTCAATTGCACTTGACGCTTTCAGCGAGGAAGAAAAAACGACGCGGAAAGCCCAGACAAAGAGCGCACACTGCTGCGAGAAAAGCGCAACGTAAACAAAGCAATGCCTGTCATCGGAAGAGACGCAGAATCGTTTCAGCGTCATTCAGGATTGATTACAGGCGGGGATAGCCATGATTGTTCGTGCATTCTCTCTAATTACCAAATTATTCAGCGGGAAACGAGAAAATCAATCGATAAGAGCCGCGAATGATCGTAGTTGTAATTCGGCGCTTGTGCTCCGAAATTGTCGGACTCACCCTTGGAACCTAACCTGACACCGCCCACCCTCGGGGAGAGCGTCCGACACCCCGGGTATCCCCTGCGAATGGTCTCGCTGGCGCGAGACGCGTTCGCGATGCGGCCGTCGGCGACGATGACAGAGACAGCGGCGGCGGCGGCGACGGCAGCGGCGGTGACGATGACGATGACGTGCGGCACGCGTTAATCGCGAGTGCTGCGTCGCGCGATAAGGCAAGCGAGGCGACGATACCGCGACTTCATCCCATCGTGGGCGACGGTGAGGGGTGCCTCTTCGTGTCGCGGCCTCCGCCACCAACCTACCTCGCCAGGACCGTAGCCGGCGACCCGACGAGCCAAGTCGAATGCCCGCCCACGTGCGGAGTTCGTATCACCGGGCGATATCGAACGCGATAAGCGTCGAATCGCGGGCTGGAAACGAGAGGAGTTAGCGTCCTGCTGATTGTCAATCTCATCATTGTACTCGGGGGTGGATCCCACGCGATATTTTGAATATTATTTCTCATTGTGCGCTTCGATAATTCAATTTTCAACGATAAAATTAAATTCCTCTCAGGCGTCAATTCATACACGGAAAGAAATGCTGCTGAATTGAAAAAAGTCAAGTCGCTCGAATTAAACGTTAACGTCGAGGGCTGCCACAAATGTAAATAATTCGTTCAATTAGCTATGGATTTTAATTTTAAACATTGAACCAAGTATCCAGATTATTAAGAAGCCATCTAATGTTTTTCATTCATTAATACTGATGTTGTTTCAACGATTTTATGTCAATTATACTTGATGCAACATCATATTTTTTCTCCGTACGATAAATTCAATTGTCAAGATAAAAATATGTATGATACGCGAAATTTTAATTTTGGGTTACATGAGATTCCTTCGCAATGAGGACCACACGTTTTCTCGTGCATACTAGTTTGTAGAATTAGGTGATAATTTTGAGAAATTAATTAATCGAAAAAATGTATCAAAAATTTTTGTGGAAAATTAATCTGTACAAGAACCTAGATTTTACCCCGCGGGTAGTAAAAATCGTACAACGACAGGGACGACGGTGTCGGAAAATGAGACGATTTCGAAACAATGGTGCCTCTCGCGATGTGTACGGTGTTGATTTGGCGCATGAGCGTAAGATATGCGCGACGCAAGTCACGCTTTGTGCGCGTCGCTCCGGGATTAATTCCAAAAATTCTGAATTATTCGCCGAGTATTGAGAGTAACGCGGGATGTCAGAAACAGAGTACGTTACATCATTCTCCTAATCCGATCCTAATGGACATCGCGCGGGCAAACATTAATCGTCATTACCCGCGACGGAACACGGTGAACATACGGTAATTGAAAATGAAGAACCGCAATGTAAGAGCGTAAATTACATGACTAATCTTCTTTTCGATAGAGAAATTTTTACAAATTCAGAACTGTTTTACTTAGACAACATGCAGAGGACTGAAGTACAAACACTTCACCTGTTTATCTCCAAAGGTACATTTCTTACGTAACGGCATATAATTTCAATTTCGATACATAATTATCTAATTAAATTAGAAGTTGATTTAGTTGCATTTATATACTCAACAGTAGAATTCTAAAAATTAAGATGATTAAAAAGCACCTTCCACATGATTTTCAGTTTCTGAACGAAATGCGACGGTAATTTCTTGGAGTAGTTCCAGGCGATCGTAGTCGAGCTACAATTCCAAATCATCAAATACAATAGATGTCTGCTCCATTGTAAGTTTCACTAGTAAATACCCCTACATTTTTCTTCAAAATCTCGCACAACCTCGTTGCTAAAGCTCGGCAATTATAAATATTAAATACAATATCTCCGAAAGCAAATCGTGATTTAAACTTACAATAATTTTCGCGCTACCTATTTTCTGTACTTAAAAGGACATACCTTGACAGGGCTGTTAGGTCTGTCATATCAAGGTGCAACAAGCGATATTATGCGCGTGCTACTCACGGACGATTGATACGAATGCAAAACTGAACTTGGCTAACTGGCCGAGTTAGCAAGCCTCGCCAGGTTCTGAAAACTCATTAGGAAATGTCCGTTAGGAAATTGCGGCGAGATCGGAGTCGAGTGATCGCAGGAGTTGTGTGCTCAGTCATCCAACACGAAAACGGAAAGGGCCAGGGATCTGCACGCAATAGACGTTCCGCGTTCGAATCGCGTGTCGCGTGCAAACACTCGACTTTTGATTTTCGGTCACGACCGGCATTCGCGCCTGAGAGGTGTTAATCGCAAGGGTACACTGGTGCCTTTAGATTTGCGACTCTGTCTATTGTGTGTGTGCGTGTGTGTGTGTGTGAGAGAGAGAGAGAGAGAGGGGGGGGGGATTTGAATATTTCGCAAATTGACTTTAGACCAGAGATCTATAAAAGATTCCATCTCAATAAAGTTGTAGCTCTCTGCTGCCTAGATGAATTTTTCATTTTCAAGCAAACCTAACTTTTTGATCCATAAATGGTTTTATTAGCAATGTAATTGCAATAGGAATTAAAGGGAATTAAGTAATCGATTATATATATTTTTTGTTTATTACTGCATAAAAGGGCTGGCTAAGCTCTTTAGAATTTGCCAGTTAACGTCGCGTTAATTTTATCATCGCATTTAATTTTTCGCGCAAGAAGATCAACGCAATCGTGCGTGAAATCGTTGATGGAAATAATTAATAGATACTATATCGTGTACGGATTACGGGTTGGTTCATTACGACGGCGATTACGCCAGAATGTGTTCTACATGTCGACGAGATTACTGTATTCGCTTCGGGATGAAAACCGGACTTAATCAATTCTGCATTGTACGGTGTCGATCTCATTACGAAACCCGGACGATCCGCGGCGCCAGGATTTCGATCACAAATTTTCGTCCCATCCGATCAAGCTGAATTTTCAGAGGGATTCGCGCCTCACGCATCGGCCCTACAACATGTGTCGGATGTTAACGAAAGTCTGCCCAAGGCAGTTTCGTTTTTCTTTTTTGTTTCGCGTTTGCACCCGATAGGTACGGAGCTCGGCAAGAAAAAGCAGCTCGAACGAAGGGAACGAAAAGCGCAAAGTTAGTCGGGACTCACGCGAAAGTTTATAAAAGCAGAAGCCTGCTTCGCGGTAATTACCGTTATAATGTTATAAATCTAGCTATTATCCCATTACGCGGTTCAGGTACGCGCGGATTTAGAAACTCCACCTCTAATGATCTGCGTGTTGACGTAAGTAAGCTACGTAACACCAATAATTCTTCGTCGAGCAATCTTACGTCGACATCGTAGGCTTAATATATTTTTTTTCCACTTCGGAGGGGAGCCTCTAACGATTGTTACAGTAATGGACAGTTTGCATTGGAGGGCACGCCAGAAATTCTATTATTAATTCTTATTTGTGCACGCGCACACAAAAGTCGCTCTAAAATTCGAAACCTTAATTTTATTTACATTCTCCACCTCGCGAAAAATGTTTTCCCCAACTAAGTTTCTACTTGTCGCCAATTGGGTAGGGAAATTTTCCATCGTTACGTTGAAGATTAAAATTGACTTTATTAAAATTTTACAGCGCCCCGTTTATTTAAGTATTTATAATTAATATTCATAATTGATTTATAATTATATTGTTGTAAAAATTCAATAAACAGATAATTTAAACGATAAACAGGTGAATTAATTTACGACTCAAACAGATTATATTTTGGATTCATCATTATGTTCATTAATATATTTTAATGAAATTTAAAACTAAGCAGAGATCTGTATATTCTGTATTTTCGAGACAAACCGTAGCGTGGCTGCCGGTCGCCGGCCCGGAGAATCGCAATGCAAAACAATTCCCATTGCATCTCATTTAAGAGTTTACCGCTCGATTCGCGCTCCTTATCGTAGAGACAGAGAGAGAGAGAGAGAGAGAGAGAGAGAGCTCGAAAGGTATCTCTTTTATTTCTCAGCGGGATAAAAGGGCGTCCCAATATTGGAATCGTCGGCGAAATGGATCTCCTAACAAAGAGTTAGCGAAGCACCCTGTACATTACCCGCTATACCCCTATTTACTCGCCGCCCTTTTTAATTAAAACGTAGACCGAGTCAACTGTCTCGACTTTTGCTCCGCTTAATTCGCCATTTCCGTGGCGTCTTTGTGATCCACTCTGTGGTCTCGCGCGACGTCGTCTGTCGCCGCCGTTTAATAGGGATATACCGGGCATTATATCGAGGTCGATTGATAGGCTTCCGTTATTTGCCAGCCGGATTTCGATTATCCACCGACTGTCGGCTTAATCAGCCAATTCCGTCCAAACAATAGCGATACGTAACGAATCGTATACACCTATCTTCGGTTATTGTATCGTACTGTACTTATATCGCGTTTCATCAGATACGAACACAAGTGTTATATTTATACGATTACAATTATTTTTTAATGTGGATATTCACGAACAGTTTGCTGTTATTTGATTTTCATTTCGCTGCACCATTTCGGTCCGTTTCTCTGTGCACTTGGGTATGTAAGTTTATTCCCTTTCCTCTGAATTTACGGGTTTCAATTCACGTGATTAAATTTCCGAAACACTCAAAATAATAGTTTCTTCGGAATAATTCTTATTCTTCTCCTTTCTCTCTCTCCAACGTTCTCGCTCCAACTATTCTTTTAATATCGCATTTCTTCTCCATTCAGTACTCCTAAACTCGATTCTCATAAGACCCGGGCTTAAATTGCGCTATTGAAAAACGCATAACGCGGTTGTTATGGACGGAATAAAACCGGCTTTCCTCGCAATTCTTCTTCAATCTGAGTGGATATTTCACTTTGGCCTACTTTTACATGAATTTTTTTTACCAATTCTATTCGACAAGTAGACGCGAAGAAACGAAGGGAGAGAAGAAATTTTCGCTTTTCCTCAAGAGTCGCTAGGTGCACAGATGCAGGCAAAATCTTCCCTTCGCCTCGCCAGATCCATTCCGAAAGATACCCGTGGAGTTTCTGCTCGCTTTAAGCAGACACACCCCCTTGAATGGCGGACTCATCCTCTAACAGTTTACCGATATCCGTCGAAGGCCTGTCATACTTAACATCGGCAATAAATATGTATATCGATCGGCCGTGAGGGCTGGCTCCTCGAGGTCGGTGAGCGAGAGAGGGCCGTTTTGTGCGCGCCGCGACGCGGCGCGCCGCGACGCCGACGGAGCAGCCGCGTCACGTGACGACGGAAATCGGCGTGGAACACGGGGCCGCGCGCGCGGCATCGTCAGTCAACCTCAGTCGGCGCGCGACATCCGTGTGAGGCGTATCGTACGCGTTCTGCACCGGCAGGCCGGTCGATCGAACCGGTCGACGAACCCTCGACGCGAACGCTCCGCGAGATCGCTCGTTCCGTCATTCCGTAGCCGAGGACTCGGTGGTCCCGTCAGTTTTTCGCCGATCCCGGAGGGAGCGCGATCGAGAACGATCGTCGATCGAACAAAGTGCGATTTATCTCTCTCGGTCGCAGTGCATCTTACTTTTAAAGAGTGCACCGCGAATATTGGCGAGAATCGCGGCGGGCGATCGACTTCCGGAAGTGAGTCCTCTTGAGGGAGTGATCGAGGGAGACGGTCGCTCGATCTCTATCGGATGCGGGAATTCGTTCAAAAGCTACCGTTCGAAGTCTCGATTAATCGTAACGTCGACTTAGATCAATCCTCGGATCAGGAGGAAAAGGATTGCCATCCGGAAAAGTAGAGAGAGAGAGAGACCTCGGTTAGTTGAGAATCTCTCGATCGGTCTTAGGCTATCGCGAGCTTAAGACAATAATCGTGAGACGGTGGCACGCACATCCGTGACTACACATTAGGGACATTAAGGGAACGCGTGTTGCGAGCATTAGGGGCCGAGCATCGAGAACCCTTCGAAGGGAATCGAGCGCCGATAATCGGGATCGATCTCGCATCGATTAAATTCAAAATCGGGCCAAAGGGAACGCCGGAGCGGAGTCGAGTAGCTGCATCGAATTGCACACGAGTTTCAAATTGCGCATGATATAGTAGTGAAAAATAGAATAGAAATAACGGGATAATAAAAGGGAAATTGGAGAAAAATTGGAGAGGAGAGCGCGGGACTCTGGACGTATAAGAAGCAACGCTGCGAGGGTTTTTTCCCCCTTTCATTCGGCTAATGTAAACTGGATTAATATTTCACGATCGCGATGTCGTAAATAACGTAAATTTCAGACGAGGTTCGAGAACCTCGCGCAGAACACATATAATAAAAGGAAAGCAGAGGGAAACCGCCACGGAAAGATGAAACGGTCCCGGCCGGCTGGTATCGCACGAATTAGAACTTCCGGCTACGTCTTATTGTTAGACGTTATTTAATTCCGCGGGGAAACAGATGGAAGCTGGAAGATCCCGAAGGTAGCTGATAACTTCGAGGGTACTCGAAGCGAGACAACATCATTCCCGCACATGCGGAATCCACGTATTCCCGCGCACGCGGTATCCCGAGATACTCGACCGAGGTGTCTCTCCTACGTTTGAGAAATTTGTAATAACAATACTCGTGGGATAGAAACGCGAGGCACCGTTTCCCTCCCGGCTACGTATCCACTGCTCTCGCGAGATTCGCGGATAAGGAGAGCGGGTTAAATGTAAGAACAATAAACTGGAAGATAAAACGTTTAACCGCGGAGAAAACGAGACCGGGAAGAAGGAATTTCTCTAACGATATCGCGTACGCTTAGTTGTTCGCTGATGTGCGATCGGAATGGACGACCCATCTCGCTGAACCCGGGTGATTTCCACGCAAGGGCGACCGGTCGACGGCAAACGTCGAGTTCGCTGCGATTTGGAGAATCCGACTCATAAACTCCGGCGCGATTAAATGCCACTGTCCCGATGCGTGCATTGTCGTTGCACTCGAAATCTACGAGACACTTGGCACGCGAACACTCGAGAGACAAAGACAACGACCTTTGCGGGCTGTTTCGCGCTCGTGGATTCGAGGGAGCCCGCTATGCTGTCCGTCACTGCGCTTGAAAAAGCTCGACACACCTCGTGAAAGGCCGATTCGCCGCCCGATAATCGTGGGATGTTGCCGAGAAGAATCTGAAGTGTGTGAGAGAGAGAGTAAAAAAGAAGAGATAAGCCTATAATGATGGAAGACGCGTTGGGGTCCAGCACGATGCGAGGTGAACTTCTTCTCACGTTTCTCATATCGAAATTATCGAGATTATAGAAAAAGTACGGGAAAAGATTTTCGGATAAAATATACGTACAAAAGAAAGAATTTTCTAACGTGCATAAGGGGATAAAAAAATATACACGTGCAACAAAAAGGATGTTAAAATCGTTACGCGCGTACAATTTCGGAGTCGAGTCGAGTTCAACAGAACTTTAATCTATTGCAGTTTTTACTTCTCAGAATCGAGTACTTCTCAGTCATTAATAATACGTTGAGTAATCCATATCGAAATTATTGAGATTGTAGACGGAGTGTTTTAAATCTGATAAAAACCGGGGCAAGAATTTGTTATTGCTGTAAAAAAGGGTATTATTGAATTTCTCTCGGATCGAATTTTTCAATGCCGTTACGCGACGGTGATTTTCAATTATTTTTATGCAACCCGTCGATCCTGACGAGAGTTAACGGACGTTTGTCACTTTATCGGGAAGGCGAAACCGCGCGGGAGGACGCAGTGTGCTGAATTCCATTAAAGTTTCCATTACTTTAGAACTTACGACGGGAATGAAAACTGCGTTTCACCCCGGGGATAGCGGCAGACAGTCCGTGCTTGCATTATAAAGTACTTAATGACCCGATATTCGTGTTCATTTATATCGCAAGAACCCATTGACTCGAAAGTGTGAAAGAGAATTGAAAAATGTTACAAAAAGCTACATTCAGCTGGGAGATAATTGAAGAACTGATCCTCTCGCTCGACACGCAAAACTGCAGATAATCCCACGATTCGGAAATAATGTCAAATTTTTCGACTGTTTGAGCATCGAAATTGTTTTATCGTTCGCAGCCCCTTTGAATTTTTCAAATCTACACAGGATCGGTAAGACATTTTCTTACTTTCCATGTCACGCTGTCGACAATCGAGTAAATTAACTGAGTTAATTATAACGTGTGCAAACGTGTCAAGATCAGACAAAATAAGAATACGCGAGTTTTACCGTCAATTAGTGCGTCGGGCTCGCTAATCGCGTTCGCGAAGGTACACGAAAGACATGAACGCGCGCAATGACGAACGGTGGCAATAGAGCGATTTCTCGCTGATAGTCTGACAAAGAAACAATTTATCCCGCGATAACCGCACTATTTATTCCCACTTACAGTTGTATCTAATCTTGCTTTAGACACAACAGTTCAACAGTTCAAGAATAAAGACATAATGTTTTCAAAACAGATCGATTATTTCAAATCCTGATGCCTTCTAACTTGATTCCACATTAATTTGACTTTACATCGTATCTCTGATAAATCATAGAGCAATTTTAGATTTGCATTTAAATTTGAATTCCTATTTTACGCCGGAGTATTTTATTAGCGCGCGATGGAAAACTTCGGTTCAATAGATAATTAAACTCTGCACATCTGAAATTTCTTTCGGTGAAAAACTCGCGACCGGTTTACTTTCCAATCGCGAAAAGATACGTAAGGACGAACCGCGATCTCGCAATGTCTTGTAAAATGAAACAATTGTCACCTCGTAGTTTGCAATTTAATTGTCGTGCTTTTATTTTCCTCGTGGATCTCGGTTTTATTAGATCTCGCCGCAAAAATTCAATTTCCTGCCGAATCGAGAAGATCGAAACTATCTGTATGCAGGGACGCGGCCTGCACGCGGAAAGAAAAAAACGAAACCCCAGATTACGTTAGGGATCGAAACTTTTCCCCGGGCGCGCCAGTGAATTTCGACGTGGAGAACCGAGCGGCGATCGTGTCGGAAGTGGCCCTCGCTGCGCCGCGTCGCCAACTTCCGCCTGTCGCGTGTACCGTGTCGCTCGGTCCTGTCGCCGGCGCTTCTTCGAGGCGGAATATCGAGTTGGTGCTTGTCGCGCGGAACTGATCTCTCGGGCCCTGGCCTCTCGGGCCAATTGTGGCTCGACATGCCGGTGTAGTTACGTGGTGTCTTGAAACGCGCTAAATTGACATTGCGAACTCGAGCCGGCTTTCACGTAGTCCAATTCAACGCGAGAGAGAAAAAGAACCGCGAGCGTGACACAATTTTTGCGACAAACGCTATTCTTTCAACTGGCTATTAATCAATCGCAGTCCCGCCGGTCGAACCGAAAAGGGGGCCCTTAAAGTAGTAATCTCGGCCCCGATGAATATTTATCGAACATCCGCGGGCTGACTTTAGCACGACTCTCGCCCGATTACGTGCGATCCAAACCGCGCGTTTGTAATTAATTAATATTAATTGCCGCGCCTGAACACCCGGCGCGGCGTGCGCGCCGGGGATGCGAATTTATTCTAACGTGTCGGTCGCGCGATACGACCGCACTCGCGCCGTTTCGCCGCGCTGTATCTCCTCTCCGTCGGGCAGATTACATTACCGCTAACCGAATTCCGCCGTACGAGAGCACACAATTCGGAATGGAGCTCGAGATTGAGTGCGGAACTCCATCTTGGTCATTTTCGCCTTCTACAATTGCCACGTGCTTGCGCGCGAGTGACTTAATGCCTCGTTCCTGCGCCGCCTTCTCGGCTTCCGATATTTCTTCTCGTAACATTCTCCCTCGTGCGCTGAATTTATTTAATTCGCACGCACACACGTGCGTACACGCGCGAGACGTGTGGCGCCCCGGTAATATTATACCACGCACCCGTTTTAACGCGCCTCGATTGTTGCACGCGCATTATTGATAACCTCCATGCGAAAATGCAGTTTTAATCATCGCCCCTAATTAAATCAATCCTGGCCTGTTATTACAGGCGCACTCTCTGTAAGATAATAATACGAACGGGCTGCAAGTTTCCTCTTCCCAATAATTCGAGCCCCGGCATTCGCAGCTGTATCGCTGTTACATGTATTATGAGCTATCATCGTTACACGTATTATCGCATTTGTTGTAACGCGCTGTTATTATTAAACACAGATTATTATCGTAATGCGGATTTTATCGGGATTTGTTATTGCAGATCTTTGTTCCGGAGAGACTGACGGCGCAACAATTTCGCCCGCGTATAATTGTTGCCATGTGTACACATACATGTATACGGAAAATTCTAACACAGTTTTCGGTAAACAATCACGATTTAATTATAAAATGCTGTACAAAGTAAGTTGCATAGGTGACCCGGGGGAGGAGGGGGGATTCTGAAATTGATCGTTATCTTTCCGCCAGGCTACACTGTAAAAAATTGCATACATAATAAGTGTAGCGATTACACTATCAATAACGGAAAAACATTTTTTACTCTTACGTATTTAAATCAAACATTTTTACTCTTAAGTATTTACTCTGTCGTGTAAATACTTGTTTATGCTTGATGAAAAATTACAACAAATTGTAAAATTTATACAATTGAAAGCAAGCGGTTTACTTATTATATATAATTTTACCTACAAGGTGGAAATTTACTGACGCGTGTAAATATACACCTTTAATAGATGGTCCCAATATTACTCATTATAATAATTGCAATTTTACATGTAACTTCTTTATAGTGTATTTGGTAACGACTTATTATAACGGTGAGCCAGTCTACCTATACAGCACGCATGTCTAAAGGGAACCTTTACGTCTTTACTAGACTTTACTTTACTAGACATACATATCTAAAAGATGACTTAAAGCCGTCTTAAATATGCCTTTCAGACATACGTCGTGTTTGGGTAGTTAAATTTTAATTAGAGAAAGTCTATATACAGTGCAGTTAATTGGTATTTAAAAAGCGATAATTATATATAAATACAGTCATTACCGACTCAAGTCAATGTCAATCTGTCATAACACATAATTTCAAATATAAATTCGCGTATCTTCCAATTAATATATTACATTTGGCGCGATTAAATCTTGAATGACATATATTAAAAAAGAAGTCATAGTGTAAAAATGAAGCGGATAAGTTAATGCAGACACGAGAGTTCTGTGATCCTTTCACGTACGTCAATAATGTGAAAAGTTGGCCGAATAAAAATTCGCGCTTTTGTAAAGCAACAATCCCTCATGAATTATGCAATAACTCGCTGTCGAGTACGCTTCTGTAATTGTAACGCTAACGTCGATATTGGAGTTTTTCCCGATAGATACCATAGTATAACTGGTAGAGGAAAGTCCCCTATCATGAGACAGGCTCCTAATATGAGATAGCGGGCTTTCTGCTAAATTAATGGGCATCATCTGTTGGTTCCACCATGAATTCATTGCCCTTGGAGTGAAATCTGTTTAGTGGAAAATTGATTGTTGGATCGTGTAATCGTTGCGGAAAAAAGATTTGCGATTGAATTTGGACGTTGAAAACCTACTATCTCATATGGTGTGTTGATTTCCTAAGACTTTGCCTTATGCTTTGTTCGGTTTAAACGAGGTAATTGATTATAATTGTTTGACCAATCCGTATTACATTCTGTATTATATTCTTATCCCGAGTTTTTCTATGATCTTACTGTAGTTTCACTGAAGAAGACCCGAAGAAGGGTCGAAACGTTTGTTTCTTATTAGAAAGAAATTTTGACCTTTATGTTGTGAGAACCGAGTTCCGTTCATTTTGTGGCTCGCATTGGCACTTTCCCCTTATCTTTCTGGGAGCCCTCACTACCCTTTGGAACTTAAAATCTTGTTCTTTAAATCTTTGCCATTTCACAGTGGCAAACTGTGCTCGAGCGCGTTAACTTGCGTCGAGTGTCTCCCGATGGAAAAGCAGCCTATGTAGATGCCTGTGTCAGTTCGTCAGTAGTACAGTCAGGCCTTGATCGGACGAGGCTACGCGCGGTGGCCATGAGGGTACCTGCTTTCACGATCGCGCCTTGGGCGAGCGCGATTTAAGTGCGCCGCCGTGCGAAAAGGGCATTAAAAACGAGTCAATGACGGAGGAGAGCGTTGGCCTCGGTTCGTGACTCGTCAAATCGAGCCGCAGGAGACGCCCGAGTAACGCGGTCGTATCAATTCGATACGTATCGACAATGCGAGCTTACTTCTGATATCGAAATGCAGATTGCTTGTTCAATAA